CTCAACTATTCTCATCCTCCTCGACCTGAGTGCAGCCTTCTGATCCCGTGAGCCACAACACCTGCTCACCTGACTCGGGCATTGGTTTGAGAAGGTATTGCACTTCAGATTGGCTCCGTCCTACTCACTGAACGATCCCACTTCTCTCCCCCCACATCTTGCCACCGTTCAGTTCACCCAAGGCGTTCCTCAAGGATCAGTACTTGGCCCCCCTCCTCTTCTCATTTCCACTTGCCCCTCGGTCAGATACTCCGCACTTCAACCTGGACTTCCATGCTATGCTGATGACACTCAGATCTACCTCGCATCCAATCCCTCCCTAACCCACGCCCTTACCTACATTCGTTTCCTGTCTGGACAGCTATTAAAACTTGGATGCACATACCCTCACCTGAACAGCAACAAAACAGATACTCCCCTAATTGGCTCCAATCCCCTCAGGCAGGGTCCACTAACATAACACTTCCATGATGGCAGCAATTGTTTCCCCCTCCAATCAGGCCACGCAACTTGGCCGTAATCTTTGCCCCACCCTCTCCCTCGCACCTACATTCGCCATAAGTCAAACCTCATTTTTCCACCTCCGCATATTGCAAAATCTACCCTCTCTCTCCGCCGCCGCGGCCGACGGACTATCATGCCTTATTTCTCCGCCTTGACACTGCAACTCACTTCTTACGGCATCGCACTACATCCCTCACGACTCCAACGGGTTCAAGATCTGCACGTCTCCTCACGCTACCAAATCATGGGGCATCACAGTCACCCCAGTCCTCAAAAGACCTCACTGGCTTCCTGTCTTCCCATCGCATCACTACATCTGGTCCTCTCACCTCCAAAGCACTCTCACCTTTGGCTCCCCTCTATCTCAAACCTTCTCACTCTTATCAACCCACGTCCCTTCAGATCCACCGCAGCCGGACTCCTATCATTCCCACATCCACATTCGCAGCTTTGGGGACAGCCTTCTCAGTGGCGGCTCCTAGATTCTGGAATTCCTCCCCCACAGTCTCCGTGACTCTACGTCCCTCCTGTTTTCAGTCCGCCTCCAACACATCTTTCAACCTTGTCTTACCCATAGCCCCGCCCCCTCGCAATCAACCTCCCTTTGATGGCTTTTATTTTTTTATTACTTCTTACCTTACTTGTTTGCCTGTCCTTGTTTGTCTACCCTCCCTATATTGTAAGGAAGCGTCTTTGATTGTGAAAAAAGCGGCTGTAATATATAAATGCATTATTATTATTATATTATTATTATTAAGCACATGTTAATGTTAACAAGTAACATGGTATAGCCATGTTCTTTATGGTTCTTCCAACTCCTTAACTTCATTACTTACTTTATTGCTACTCAACTCTTATCGGCTAATGTTACAGTCATTCATCGTTCATCGCCATTACTCATTGCTGGCTTGTTGGCTAAGGCATGACAATAATACTCAGAGCACATGTACGTGCTCAAACTCGCTAACTGTTTAAGTCTTATGATCAGGGGTCCAACCTTTTTGTCACGAGGGCTACTTCAAGGGGTATGAGTATACGCAAGGGCTACCTTGTTTGATACAACTTCCTGACTAAATATTCCGGTTTCACCTTTAATCGTAATATTATTATAATAATATCAGGAACTACATTTATTTCTGTATGTGAAGGACTGTCTGTCACATGTTAATGTTATTATTCCTCACATAATTATACAATTGATTTACCATTGCTTGCACCCCCATTGTTTTTTTGAAACTGATCTATATTCTATACCTTTCGCGAAGTCTATCAGGGGTCGTTTGTTAATGCTGCGTTCACACCGGACGCGGCTTCGCTTATCGCTTGAGTTTCACGCTGTGCCAGCTGTGTTTACTCGGATTTACAGACAATTCATTCTGAAAACTGCCACTGGGGAACGCAACTCAACATCAAGGCATGGATTTCAAGCATATATGAAAAGTAATCAGAATGAGAACAAACAAGCTGATCTTCAAATTCCTCAAAAGCACTGTCTGAGGATAAGGATTTAATATGCACATGTAATACTCACAGTACGGTTGGCGATATATGTCCAAGTGGAGCGATTCGCCATTAAAGAAAAGAAGAAGAGAAGAAGCTGTGTTTACTCGATCATTAAACAAGACCGGTGGCGGTCGGGAGTCCACTAACCAAAATGAACTATTTTCCGTGATTAAGTTGTAATAACGTTTCTAAATGATTGCCGAAGTACAACATCTGATAGTTTAGTAAGAAACCAATGAATTATGCTTGAGCAAAGTCAGCAGACAAAGCGGCGGCGAAAAACCTTTTAAAATGCTTGTTTTTCTGAATGGGATTGGGTGACCAGGCTAAGCTAACGTTTATATGCTCATTTCCACATCTCATAACAACGGCCTAGACATAATAAACCAGCGACTGGTCATTCGCCATGACACAGCAGTGTCGGTTTGTACTTGTTTAACTTTTGTCCGTTTCTGAAAAGTATGAGGGCTGTGTCTCTGTTTGCGATGTTTTTGGTTGAACGTCAGTGCGCAGGCTGGAGAATCCTCACATGCTGTGTGTGTGTGTAGTGTGTGTGTGTGTGTGTGTGTGTGGTGATGAGGCCCATGATCGTAGCTGCTCGTGCTAGCTTGTCTCAGCTAAAGGTGGAACGGAGATTTGGTGCGTGGAGTTCAACTCTGAACCTATCTGGGGTCAGAGTTCAATTTCACGCACCAAATCTCCATTTCACTTACATATGTACATACAAATTGTGTGCTTTTAAAATGTTATATTCAATATTGTCATTTTAAAAATTAAAAATGTATTCAATAATGTTTTTAGGCGGAGCTCCATGGTGACTTGTGCTATTTTTAGAACATGCACGCGGGCGACCAATTTCCCCCCTGCGGGCGACTTAGTGCCCGCGGGCACCGCGTTGGCTACCCCTGCTATAGATGTTTACAGCTCTTCCAACAGCTTCTCACTTTAGCTACTTAACCTTTTATCATGATTAATGTAGATTCATGTAAATCAACGTCTCACAAATTGCGGGGCTTGTAGGTGAAGCAACAATGAAATTAAAGGACATCTACCAAAAACTAACTGTTTCCTGTCCGCTCCCACAGCACCCTTGGTGGACTCCAGCCCCAGACACAGCAGCTCGGCCATGCTGATGCTCCTATCAGTGGTGTTCCTGGGTCTAGCAGTGTTCCTCATCTACAAATTCAAGAGGTACACTGTGTGACTACTTCCACCTGCAGCACATGGCACGGTCATATAGAACCCTAGTAGGCCTATATACCTATTATTTTATTATCCATTATTGATGGTACCATTTGAGCACCGTCTGGACCAATCAATCAGTCGCGCTAAGAAATTTGATTGAATAAGTCCCCCTAGAGGTTGTACACAAACTTCTAGCAGGATTGAATGAGCATGTGGCTCCAATCAGTGACGAAATGTGGATAAAACGACCATTAAAGGGTTGAATATGCTGTTGCTGTGCCACGCTTGTTATTTGCTGAATAAATTATTCATACTTGAAATGATTCTCTTGAAAAGTCGGGGGGAATGGAGAATCTGTCATTAATTATGAATATGAATTTTTTCCCATTAGTCTAAAGAGCATGCATTTTTCAGGAAATCTCGCAGTTGACAAAACAGAGCAATTAATAACCCAACTGAATGGTAATTAGAAATAAATTGGATGGTGACTAAATATAGATGTATATTAGGTGTTATAAATGTTGATGGGAATGATACCAATGCCACTGTAATTTGCCTCTAGAGTAGTCACTGAGGTATTATTACAGTTGAGACAACTCTGAAAATTGGAATGTCCAAAGCACTATAGGAAACAGAACTGTCGTTGAGGTTAGCTGAGAAAATGTGTTTAAAGTTTGTCATCAAAAAAACACTTTTGTTAGGCTTGTAAATGATTATTTTTATACTGAAAAATATGGCAAACATTTCATTTTTTCCAATTTGTCAATCTCTTCTTTTGTAAAATTAGAAAAATACCTTGGATCAACATATACGCTGAGGTGAACCAGGAGAAGGAACAGGAGATGATTGGGTCGGTCGGCCAGGGCGACAGCACGCCTAAAATCACTCTGAGTGAGTTCTCCGCATCCAAAGAACTCATGGAGAAAGAACTGGACCCCAGGATCAAAAGTAAATGAAGAGCTTTCAGTGAAATGATTCCACTCAAAATGATTGCTTACTGACTTGAAAAGGGTTTTGATTTCCTGATCGGAGACATGATTTTCTATCATTTTCAAGATGGTCTTAGAAGTCAGAATACACAAATACATGTGTGCAGAATCATACCCCAGGAGTACTTTAGCTATTGAATTTGAATAATTTTTTTAAATAGAGAATTGGCAACTTAATCTCCTTTTAGCAATTTGAATTATTCAGAGAAGAGGAAAGCAGAGGGAGCCACAGAGTATAGACGGACCAGGATGGGGTTTAGCACAGTAAAGAAAAGATTTTCAGCAAGGCTTGCAGTACTGAGAACAATGAATACATAATAAAACCAACATGTTTAAGCATGCTGCCTCAGGACTCGTTGGCCAGCAGGAGCACAGAGGCACCGGCCTTAATCACTTGAATATTTGGTTAAAATATGACTTGTTTAAATATTCCAGAACATTTGCGAAAAGCTAATTGGCAAAATTCTGCTTACTCTGACCTTATATGATACGCTGTTTTGCTGCTTTACCAACAGAATGCAGTACAGGTCAAATGGCAAGTGCAGTTCCAGAATTAATTTGTCTCTGAGTAGCTGACGTAGGTGTGAAAATGATTAAGGTCTTACACCGAGGTGACACCCACATTATTGTATTCAGCTCAATGCCCATTGTTATCTTCTGCTTACTGCCTGTAAGCCTCTCCACAGAGGAGAGGCGGTCAGTATTGTCGTCATGTAGCAGCATGACCTGAGGTGCTGCCCCAAAGTCTACAAATTGAATAATAAATGCCGACCTCTGCTACAGTATAGACAAGGACATCACAGCGTTGCACAACTAGTTGTTATGATACACATTCGTAGCGTATGAAACAAAGACTGTATTCCACTCCTGTAGTGCATTTTCTAGAACTTGCATCAGGAGAGATATACAGGAAAAACAGCAGTAACAAAAAAGCCTTGATGCCTTCTATACATGCAGTGCAACCAGACAGTGCATGTTATGGGATCTGTGATATAGAGTGGTGCAGTAATGATTCTTAAAACCCAGAAAATGATTAGCATATTACCATTTCCGGTCGTCTCAAAGTCAATGGATTTTTGAACATGTTTGTCGTAAGAAGCCTGAAATAAGGTCTGGGGTTAACACAAGCTAACCTTTTTGTTCCACAAAATAAAGTATGTCATATAAATAACGATTGGTTAAATTAGACTTATATACCTCATCACTCCGACACAAGTCCGCCTTTAGCTTAGCCGGGGTGACGCGCCACCATGTGACCGTAATGTACTTCATACATACGCTTTTTCACTTCTTCTGTTTGCATTTACGCTTAAAAAAGGACAAAGTGATGTTAGTATATGGTAATCATCCTGCTGAACAAAACGTGTCAGTATCCTTCACGAGTGTTGACCACAAAGCTTGATTTCTGCAATATACCAAAATCAACTGGGGAAATCCCATCATCACTGCAGTACTCTATTGAGTGCTGTTATAAGAAGATAACACATTTAAAATTACAATAATGACATCATGTAATAAATACAACGGACAATTTAAAGCGTAGAATAGAAGCAATCATGCTAATTAGAGTAATAATTACTTCCAGTCCTGGAATGTACAGTATATCAAATTAAATGGCCAATCCAGGGATTTAGTATTGCATTTTCTTACAGGCAGCAAAAACAGATTATGATATAGTCAGTTCAGAAGACGGAAGACCTCCTCATAGTAATGCTTATTACTGGACATTTTGAATAATGCAACGTAATAATATCCTTTATTAGACCCAAACTCAACCCCCCTAGTTCGCACACAGGCCTTATGTTCTACAAATGCATAGGGTCCAAACCAATGAGGATATAACCCTTTAAAAAATGAAGCATTTGTTTAAATTATAATAACAAAACATAATAAAAACAAGAACAAACAGCAATACAAATTAAATTATTCAAAAGAAAGTATTAAAATAAAAACAACTCTCCTGAGTATGAGACAACATGCACAACCACAAAACAAATGAATTCTAATGTCTTGTTCAGTCTTGCATAAAGTACATTTGTTCTCAAAATATGAAAAGCAAATTGATATGCTTGATATCTTTTTTGGGTATGTTTGACAGTTTTACATTATAATTCAATTAATTTGCCATTAACAATATACTGCATAACAGAAAATAGAACTATGTTTGTTGAGTAATGTTGGTTTAGTCAATCCTATCAATACATATTCAACATGTGGACCTTGTTGGCCTCTTCCAAATGAAATCATAACTTCAATTGTTCTAGTATTCTGAGGAAGAGTTATGAAATAATTCAATGCTGATGAGACTTATTACAGCCTTGAATCAGAGAAAGCAGTTAGTCTGGACATGCTGTTCTAACCTACAGTATAACATAAACACAAATGTGTATTCTCTGCCTGTGTTTCATGTTGTCTTGTATAATTGCCCTTAACACCACTTCAGGAGTTATTTTGTTTTCTGTGAGTTGTTCCTAAACATGTTGCAAAATGCAGTGGAACCACACTGGAGGTCTTTGGATAGATGTGCACCCAGGGTTGGGAGGGTTACTTTGTAAATGCATTTCATTACAATTACTAGTTACCAGTAAAATATGTAATTAGTAACCTAATCTGAGTATGAAAATATTGATTACATTTTATTTATAGGAAAACCTGCCTGTCATTAAGCATATTCAGCTAGTAGTTTATACACCAACACTGAAACACATGATTCACACTTAAAGTATTGGCCTACAGAACAGTACAGTTTACCGGTGAAATGCAATGTTTTGCATCCTGATTATATTATCCCGTTACATTAAATCCCTTACTTCCCGATCCTGCATGTATCCCATCATCCTCCACTAATGACATCATATGACTCACTGAAGTTTCCCTTCATTTTCAGCATGAGCGGTAGAAAAAAGAAATACATTTTCATAATGGCTCACTTTCTTATATCCATAAAACAGCTACAAATCCTTGGATTAAAACACTTCAGTAATAAACACGACCATGTCAAAGAGGCTGTGTAAATAAGTATTGATGCAGAACTAACTATCTCTCATACTTTTCTTCTGTCTTTCTCTGCTCAGGGGGAGTTGGAAACGCCTGCGAGAGCACAAGGGAGATTCCCAACTGTACTAGCGTGTAAAGCTGGAGAGCGACAGTTTATGTACAGCCAAGTGTCACAGTGTCGGGGTTCTCTTTTTCTGTTTTGTAATTCTCAACACAACTGATGTTAATAGTTTTCTAAGGGACCTCATTTATACTGACTTGCACGGATGCCTCATTCAGCAAAATCCACGCAGAAAAATGTCAATTTACTCGATGAGATCAGTGTCGTAACTGGCATATACAGTTTTGTGGATAAGCTACATTCATTCACAGAGTGAAATACCTTTGGTCCACACCTGTGAAGAGTTCTGTACATTTCATAAGGAGTTTGCTTTGAGAATAATTTCTGCCTATATATAGACTATAATGTCTGAGTCTTCAATCTAACAGGGAATATTATTGAAATGTACAATATTATCATATGTTCTGTTAAATGTATATATTATTACTTTCTACCTGATCGTAGTCTAAGTACCATGGACAACAGATGATCTGGTCTGTTTTTGAAAGTATGTTAAAACATTGCTTAAAGAAATCAACTTTGTTTCGCTAAGGTTCTTGACTTGTGCATGTTCTTATTGAGGACAGGATTTCTGTGTTGTAGATAAGCAAGTGTTGTAAATAGTTGTTTTCTAATCCTCCCTCAAAGAGCCCAATGGATTTTACCCACACTTCTTCTGTTTTGCCCTCGTTTTCTGCAGTTACTGTTGGGCGATAAGTATCTTGTAGAAAAGGTTTATCTGTAAATGCAGGTAGAATTCTATTGAAATAATGCAGTATTAACGTCCCACTATTTCCCTGGAAAGAAATACAAACATGTCCAATGTGTTTCATTAGATATATACAATAGATATTCAGTGATGTTTACACAGATTCCATCCTTGCCATTGGTCTCATTACATTACCTTCTGCCTGTTGGACAATGACTCAGATTGTGCATCAGAAATAATTTCTATTGTGGTGACCAGTGATCAAATTCACAATATGCATATGTTGGGAGAACATTGATGCTATTCAATCCAAAATAACATTATAAGTTATGTGTACGTCCTCAGAAATACCACGAACAGAAGGTTGGGTTCTGATAGCTGGTTCCACTTTGGTTGCTGTTTGGGAAATAACTATATGAATCAATCGAGTGGTGCACTGATGACCTTTTATTGTTGGCGGACCCTGAAGTGAGCATCGCAAGGGCTCCTTCAACAAAAAGCTATTTAATTATTTAATAGATTTTTAAAAATTGCAAATAATAAGCGCTGTGACAAAACACACGTTTATGATACGTGTTTTGTTCACCATGTTAATCTCCACATATAAACACCAATTTGTGATTTTTGGAGCTAAACATGTAATTGCCAGAACTGGAAGCTAACATTAAGCTATTAACAAACTGCATGAAATTCAAATGACCTAACTACAAACACGTTAAAAGAAAGTTGACTTTTAGGCGAGTGAACCGGAAGCAATACAATGCTAACTCATTCCCGATTCAGGACTCATTCCTGCACCACTCAATACAATACTGAGTGTAAACAATAATGAGTTTCAGTTATTTATGAATGCCAGTAACTGCCACGTGTTTAAAGCTACACCTAATACTGATAAAACCCCAAGAAGGCCTATAGTACATAAATATTTGTAAGCATATACCATTGTTTGTGTTATATTGAATATACACAATCAAAAACAAATACTTTTTCAGAAATGAATATACCTGAAACTTGAAATGAACTCTCGCTGGTTGTTCACTTGGTTCTTTGCTCAGGGTTTTGCTGTCGGCTCCATGCAGGGGAGGAGGGTTGATTTACTTGACAGCTAATTTTGCCCCACAAACATTCTCCTTCATTACGACAAGAAAACTGCATCTTATCTCAAAAGTGAGTCATCAATAAGGCACAGTGAGCCAACGTTCTACCCTGTCCCAAGATCAGATTCACAGACGATTTTGACTTATAATATTAGAGCAAAAGGAGTGCCATAACGTTCAGCTTGGTGCAATTTGCTTTATTTTGTGGAAGGAGAGGGGAAAAAATGTATATATGTTTTCGCTTTTATAATACCCCAAATTGTCATTCGTGGTTTTCTTTCTTTGTTTTTTTCAAAAACGACATGCAGAGACGCTTTCTTCATTTATTTTTCATCATAAAACTGTCCTTACATCCTGTCACTGCAAACCCACAATAAACGAGTTTGAGCGGAGCATGACGAAGTCTTCGCCTGGCTACAGTCATGAGAGTAATAATTCCACTGGAGTGAATTGGAGCGCCTTTAAGGCTCATATTATGCCAAATGCATGCATACTGTATGACTTAACTGAAATCAGTGCAAATGTCAAATGTGAGGGTGCATTTCACCCTTTGTGGAGTATTTTATCTTATTTGCACATGGTTTAGTGGTTAGGAAAAGCCACGCAATCCTGTTGTGAAATTGCCCCTTCCTTTAAAAAGACTAAATCCACTCTCCATGGGGCCATCATGGTTCTTTAACAACCCAACGCTTAAATCACTGCTTTGCTTTAAGTTTTAAATGAGGAGGTAACATCCTCCCAGCATGCACCACTATCCCATCAGAGCTGTTTTCTTACTGACTGGCCTCGGGATGATTCCCGCTAGCCTCTTGGTATCCAGCATGGTGATAATCAGAGAAAGCTGGACACCTGAGCAGAGCGTGCCCCATGCAGAGCTTTCCCACAATGCTCAGCTGAAGTAAACAGCACTTGCAGGCTAAGCGAGAGGGGACAGAGGAACACAAAGGCATAGGCTGTCACATCACATATTCATTACCCAAACACAGCGTTCTCATCTCAAACCAAACAGCCAAGCCTTGTTAGTGCAGACAGAATACACATTGAACAAAGATTGTTTTATAGCTTTGTTGTATTCATCACATGCCATAAGCAGAGAGTTGTTTGCCTTGCTGGATTTTCTTAGCATGGGGTTTTTGATGCTGTCTTTCTTCTGATTTGTATTAGCAAAACAGGATTAGGACAAACAGAAATAAAACTTTTGAAAAGTTGTAAAAAGTTTGTACTGAACAATCCTACTTGTACTGTATTGTTTTGGTCCTTTTTCGCCCCTCCTGGATCCTTTGAAATTGTAAAGAATGTATGATGACTTCACTTAGAGCCAGGCCATGATGCTTTTGCAAGGTACAGAATTCGGTACTCCAAAAAAAGTCTCAAAGAATAGCCACTGAACATGTTCATAGACTTCATTGGTCATTCCATCACCACATTGATCACTGGACATTTCTGTCTAATCTGACTTCTCAAAAATCCATGATATTCTGTAAAATCATCCAGAAAATGAAAGAGATTCTTGCTTTCGTGATATTTCCGAAGGCATAAGCATTGTAATGTTCTTCATTGCACAAAAATCTACAATGCATGCATCATCAGTAATGTTTTGTTTCATCTTTATTTCCATATTTCTACGGTAAGGAAACTGTCATTTTGAAATTGTTTCAAATAAATGTATTTTTGTACATCAACGTTTTCGTCGTCTGGGTGGTTTCCTGTGAACTGAAGGGTGCAAAGAAGATGATGTTTAATGTGAATATCACGTTTGATCAAACAAAGAAGAAGTAGCAATCTACAGTAATAATGATAGAAAACTAGCAGCACTGTTCATGCTCTTCCTCGACTCAGACACAAAACATGATGCCATGATGCCAGCTTTCACATTTTAACAGTTCATGGTGAGAGTAGAAGGTTATTACATTAAGCACCGTTGCATAATAGAAGTCAATGACTAAAGTGCTCGACTAAATAAAGACGTTTGCGTAATAATTTTCCCAAAGCTGTATGTGCCCACAATTTTCTTCAACACTGAGGGATTAATATGTGTGCTATCATTCAGTTTTATCTCCAAATAAAGTGGTTTGGATAAACTTTTAGCTTGTTAACTAGCTGTCTGATTACATAACTAATTTAATTCACTCCAACTTTTGGGTAATTCTCAATGCTTTTATCAACCCAATTTCCTCAAAAGCAGGCAGCTGTTTACATTGAACGATATCTAAAAGCCCACTGTGAACAGCATCAACCAAAAGACAACATTTACATCTAGCTAGTAAACAGAGGTAGCCATTTCCTTCACACGTTGGTGATGACCAAGAAAAAGCTAACAAGCACAGTGAATATTACCAAATGGGAAGAAACTAGTGTACAATGTCCATGATGTATTGATATATCACCTTACAAGATGATAACATGTCAGTGTTCTGCTTTGAACTTGTTACATGACCCCAAGTGCCAACAAAAATCCATTACGGTATGTTTAAATATGTCTCTACATACATCACACAGAAAAAAAGCATATAATGGTATTTTTGATAAGATATCTTTTTAAGAATCTCTGGCAACGTAACCACAAACAATCATCATATTCTGTTTCAGATGTTGCTAAATCCCGATTGGTACATGGACAAATATGACTTCAAATATTTCCCAAGCCCTACCACTTCACACCAACATAGAAAAAACTAGTAAAGAAACCATATAAGATGAGAAATAAAATAAAAAGTTCTAACCATTTCCTATTCAATACAGCCCTTGTATCCGCTCCTAACAACATTAGGAAAAATAAATTAAGTTACGAAGGGCTATTATTGACTTTAAATACATTGAGATGCAGTTATGTACTGATGTATTGCTGGAATAGACTGTAATCTATGAAATGAAATCTTTGCAGGGGACAGGGTTGGGATCAGGTGTAGACATGGTTGGTTTATGGCTTTGACCTTGTAGACCCTGTAGTCTCAGGCATGATATGACGGATGGCGATGGAGCAATTACAGGGACTTTTTCTTCTTGGCTCTAATTATAACCAGCGCGATGGTCTTGACCCTGACAAGTAAAGTATTTGACATGATGGCTCCTACACAAGAATCACGATGCAAATGTCCAATCAGCCGAGAACAAAATGATTGGAAGTGAGACATTTGTTGTGCTCAGTATAAAAAAGACTTTTCTCCAGAGAGAAGACAGCTTTGTCATCTCCGGTCCGCCATCCTCCGCTTCCACCCCCCCCCCTCCATGGGATTACTTTCAACAGAGTATGAAAATACCTCGTCACTTCATAGAAGCCTCGCTCAATTTCAGTTTATTTCACATTTTTGAATGTTCTCTGGCTTATTGGAGTTATCAATGCAAGATAGCGAAGCTGGCACAAACAAAAGCCATTTGTCTTTATTCACCGGGGAAGTCTGAGAGCAGCCTCATTATTCTGTGGCTCGAATTAATCTAAGGCCCATGTCTCTCCCTTTCACCTTGGGAGCCTGATACAATGAGTAACAGGGCTCTTAAAATCCTGAACACATACCCCAACCCTCGGTGCAGGTTACTGATAGACCTGTATGTCAGGTGGAGGACAGAGGCACTGAAATACACCACAGTGCAACTTGAGGTTGGGTTCCGCTGTTTTGAGCATTAATACGCTTTGATTTGTTCTGTGATTGTTGTGAAACAGATGATTATGATGATTATTGGTATTTTTCCATCTATAGCTCTATATATCATATGTTAAAGATCTCCTATCATGCTATTTTTTGGCATATATTATGGGTCTCAGACAGTGGTGAACCGTCAGGGCCTTCAAGGTATTCAGAGAATACCCTGAAACACTCAGATAAAACAAACAAAAAAATCGATTTAATTATATAATTTTATAAAATGTAAATAAAATGAATAAATGAGAATCGTATCTGTGTTGTTGATCTGTAATATTACAGTGTTACGTTGATTTGTTTTGTCTTTCTCGGTCCATGCACTACACATTTCAGTGGTTTTGTGTTAGAGAAAAAATGCAACCAATCAGATATTTTTCTATCAAGGTATTATATATCCTTGATAGAATGCCCTGGCCGTTGCACTGAATGAGAGCGTACTCTTGGATTGACAGTTTGATCAACCAATCATATATTGATTTGTAGCCAATGGGCGCATTCTTTCAGAGTTTCCCTCGGTTCCAGGGTACTCTAGAAGGCCCGTTAGTTCACTGGATCGAGACAGAGGATCTATAAATGCGACGTAGCAATTCATGCCGTTTTAATGTTGTTAACGTTGAAATGGCAACAGGTGAAGATGATGTTGTTGCGGAATTGTTGTCAGTACCCTTTTCAAGACTATTCAGTGAAGAGACGAACATTATAACGGCGGCGGCGGGGTGTGTGTGTGTCTACAGAAGGTCCAGTTGTGATAGACACGATTCGTCACAGGTATCTCTACATACAACCTTTTAAAAAAAAATTCGCAAACAATCAGAAAATACTAGCCTCTTTTGGAGGGAAAGTCAAACGAAGTGTTTGATACATAGGGTGACTAAAGTAACGTACAGACAGTATTGGAAAAGTAATGTTTTTTTAGTATTTAAACATGCCAACATGTTCTAGTTTAAACACATACATAAACATGAATATTAGTACGATATGTCCCCTTTAATCTTTATTGGCACTGTACCTTCCATAGCAGCTGCAGTGAGCACACTCAGAGCGCTAGCAGCCCTCTGTGTCAGGCGTGGCTCTTCCAGACGAAGCATGCTGTGATCAGAGCCTAATGACTTCTCTTCGAGCTCATAAACTGAAGCACACTGAAAAATGTTGATGTCAGTTGCAAATCGAAACCATCTTTATACAACTATTTTTCTCTAAATAACTAAAACAGACTTACCTTGACCAAAGTGGGTGCTCGGACCAACAGACGGGGAATGATTCTCCCGCTACAATCCTTGATAATTTCATCATGTTCGTCATTTGCCACCTCAGATATGGTGTGATGACTGAGTGACTTCTTACTAGTTAAACTGACTTGGCTTCCTAGACCCATAGCCTGCTAGATGAATAAAGGAATACAGTGTTATTCAATTTCCCTACCAATAATACAACACTTTTATCACGCTTGGTTATTTTTTCTCAATTCTGTATGAAAGAACAAAACTAAATTCCATAAAAGTTTGCTATAAGTTATCATATGGCAGCACCCACAGTATGCTAATTTAAATACATGGTTGGCTGTTTCCCTTATTGCTTGTAATAGTTACCTCTTCCTGATTCCTGATTTGCTCGAGTAGCCGCTGGAACTCTTCCTCTTTCTCGATGGCCTCTCGCTGAGTTGCCTGATTCTGTTCTTCATAGGCCATGGCTACCACAGCCAGGATGAGGTTGATGAGGTAGAAGGAGCCCAGAAAGATAATCACCACAAAGAACAGCATGTATGTCTTCCCAGCCGCCCGCAGGATCTGTGTTTGGAGCAAAAAAGAAGCTACGAAAACTAAGGACACGTTTCTTTTTATAATTTAAGTAATAAAACAATTATAAGTTAAACGGCATTAATGTGTTTGCAACATATGAAAGAAGTGCCAACCAGCTGGAAAAGGTTCTCCCAGTAGTCCTGGGTCATGAGTCTGAAGAGCGCCAGGAAGGCCCAGCCAAACGAGTCAAAACTGGTGTAGCCATAGTTAGGGTTCCGCCCAGCTTTCATGCATGTGTATCCTTCTGGGCACTTTCTATCAACAAAGAAGAAGAGTCAGTCTGCTAAAATGGCTGCATTCCAATCGTCTCATTTGTTTAAGAGGTTCCTAACCAAGTTAAATGTCCTATGTATCTCATCTGCAGAAATCACACTCAGACGATCGTTACCAGACAAAGTGATCATGGTGTATGTGTGTTTAATACATACCCAGCATCTGAGCTGTTTCCACAAAGTAGAGCATCTAGGCTGCCTTCCAAATAATACTGATTATCTAAAAGCATACAAGAAAAAGAAGAAGTGAGGACACAATAAACTTAAATAAGAGACATCTAGTAATATGGCTTTAGCATACCTGTGTTTTCAATGTACTCATTAAAGTTGAAGGTACTGTTGGAATATGATGTATTGTTGACGCCCATGGTGTTATTGAAGAACATGGTGTCATTAAATTGAGCAGTGGTGTTAAACAAATCGTATGCAGTTTCATTTGTTTCGATGGGCCATCGCACACATTTCTGACGCAAATTTCCCATAAAGAGTTGAAGGCCAATGAGGGCAAAAACAGCAAGGGCAAAGACTGTCAGAATCATGACGTCCACCATTTTCTTCACTGACTGGATCAAAGCGGCCACAATGGTTTTCAAACCTGACAAAATAGAATCAACATGAAGTTTGCACGTCTCTTAAAGTCAGACAGCAAGGGTTATACATTCATAAATGATTAGAAATACTATTAGATACAGCAAGGCGTTTTAATGTATCCAATTTAGGATTGCATTCATTAAAACTTGGAAAACATGACATTTTATGTGAAGCAAAATCAATCACTGTACTGTTTGCTTTGTGAAATTACACAAACACAGTGAAACACATACAAAAATGTAAGGTAAAATAGAATAGTAAAAAAATACCAGGAATCACAGTAATTGTTTTAAGGGCTCGAAGTACACGAAATGTCCTGAGTGCGGACACGTTGCCGAGGTCAACAAACTCAGTGACATATCTGTGGAAAAACATAAAACAATTAATTTAATTCAAGGAAAGAATTATCTTTCATTTTATGCACTATGTGAGGAATATGCAATAAGATTTGCTGATATCAAAAGCAACTACACCATTAGACGAAAGTACACTTACGCCATGCTGATCACCATGAAATCCAGCCAATTCCATGGATCTCGAAGGAATGTAAAAGATCCAGCACAGAAACCTCTTGACAACACTTTGATTGTTGCCTCAACGGTATAGATTCCAGTAAAAACATACCTAAGAAGGAACACAGGCTAGTATAGATATAAATAACATAACACAGGAATGCTACAGAAATGAAGTACTTACTCAACAGTTTTACTCCATGCTGGTGGGTTGCTCAACGTCATGAATGCACAATTCAATACAATCGTAAGCATGATGAACATGCTAAATAATTTAATTCAGGGTTAAGGAAACAAACATGGACAATATGAATAAAAGTAGCCTTTTATTTATGGCTAAACATCACTTTATTTCTCATTCAAAATGTAAAACACTATATGATAAAAAAGCTCAAGCATCAATAGTTCAAAGGATATGAATGTATGAGAATTTTGATGGCTCCTCTTCTAACCAAACTAAAGGGGCTCAGAATGTAGCAAGCCGGCTCAGCGTTGAACCTGTAGATTGTGTTTCCTTTGGTGATCACAATGAATGTCTGAAACACAGAGATTATATCTGTATAAATGCAGAGTCTAAAAGTCCCTCCTACATTTCGCTAAATACTTAGTGATGACAATATTGGAATGATACTACTTGAAACATTTAACTGTAACATTTGCATACCGCAGATGAAACGGTGTACATTGCGTAAGGGATACTTTATGCAGCTAAAATGTATGTTAAGTAATATATCCTGTCGTATTTCAAGGTTAAGTAGGGACGGAGTCAAGCTCATTAAACACTAAGTGTGTGTTTCATTGCCATGTGTGCCCCAGATGTGCCTCGACTGACTGCGTTTTGTGCTTTGTAGAAGGGGTCCAGGTCCTCCAGAGGTGTGTTGAGCAGCTCTGATGGAGGGTCTCCGAAGATCATGGGCAGACTCTTGCCTGCCTCCAGATCAGCGTTTGGGGCCGTTGGCTCTTCCTCATCATGGCCTTCTACATCAGCCTTTTGTCTTTCCTCCTTGAGCCTCTCGGCCTCCGCCAGCAATTCCCGGGTAAAGGGGCGGAACGCATTGGTGCCTCGGGGAGGGAGCAGGGGCGCCATCTTCGCATCGCGAAGGGACACCACCACACCGGGGTTTCCCTAAAAGGAGCTGCAGGAAGAACAAGAAGTAGATACAGAGAATATGTTTTCAGATGGAACGTATTGAAAGACGAGACAAAGCAAGCCATACCCTAACCATTTTAAATTAAACCATAAACATTTCGATTTGATTTGAATAATTTTAAAAGCAAGTGTATACAGTATATGGTGTATATGTATACATTTTAACACCCCAAATGTATGATTGATCGTAAATTAAAAAAGAAAATTGCTGGTGTTATTTATGTATTTTTTGGCCATTATATGCTTTTATCAAAACAAATGACATTAGAGACATAACATGAAATGAGAGGAGGGAGACAGATGAGGAATAACATTCAGCAAAGATCACCTTAACTGCTAGGCCACCATGGCAAAGCATGTTTGGTATTTTTACTTGGTAAATTATCTGAAAAAAATATCATTCCCTAATCCCTTGAGCACCTGTTGCAGAAGTGAATGCCTAAAGCAGCTGTTCCTAAATGGGTACCAAGAAAAATCTGACAGGGTCATATTTACATTAATGAAAAAGTGTTGCCTGTTCTTGTGACAATTGTTTAAATAAAGCAATCTTTGCTAGAAATGTTACAATCATGTCTTATAATGGGCTCACATGTATACACCTTTGTTTAAAGGGTTCAAAAGCCAAAAAGGTTGGGAACCACTGAACTACAAGGTTAGGTTTCCACGTGTGTCTTTGATCTTTGTCCATACCCCTTAACCTCTGCCCTACATCTCTGACCCTGGACCCCTCACTTCACCACAAGCACTTCAAAGTGTCGGGATGGTAACACAATGACTGAACGCTCTTGGGAAGACATTTTGGACTTTCCCACCGTTCTAAAGAGCCCACGACATTACTTGTGTACATCAGATTACTTATTAGCTTAGAAGATACTCAATACCAGGTCCAAGTGGCATTCGCTTACATCCTTTGAAGTGTGTAGCAACCACTCTGGTTTCGTCTGGAGCAGCTCGCATGGACATAATAGGGGAGTAAATAACCCCTTTTATATAAGCTATTTTACTTTAGATGGATGGATCTCAATGTAAAACAAAAGTACAACTAGTTATGTTATCACTGTTTACTATTGTATACTTTCAGAATCACTTAACCTGAAGGGGATATTATATTAATCAATAACTACAAACTGGGTGTGCCGATGCTGAATAAAGCAAGTAATTACATTGCAAATTAGCTTTGACGAACATTTGAACATATTTAAAAGACAAACACCCAGCCTAAAGTTGGCTTTAGGATAACAATACATGGATATAAGGAAAGTTGTTTGACACTGTTATGCAGCAAAATTCCCTCAGACACCCATGCAGGTCAATCACAATTATCCATCAAAGCCATCAAATTTCCGATAAATAAGTCAACCACTTGCTATAAAGTGTATTTAACAGTTATATATATGAAAATAATCAATTTATGGTCTACATTTAAAGTGGCAGAGGCAACAGAAAATCCATACATAGATTAAATCACTCAAACCTTCAAAACCAAGCTGATAACAGGCTGTGCAAAGAGAAGAGACATGATAAAAACAACATTGTAACCATAGATAGACAAAGTGATAGCCACTGATCAAACACATTAATGTAACCTCCTCAAACTGCCTCACTCCAACAGAAAATTATGCATTTGCACATGTGAGAAGACGCTCCAGAGATACGGTGGCTGCCCAGCTGCTCCGGGCAATCAAGACGGAGCGTCGTGTTACAGAGGCCCGATGACTCTGCTCATTCCTTCCTGGCTGAGCCTTCGCTCTGCGCCTCACATCCCTCCGATAAACAGGACAGCATGCCAACTTATCTTACCAAGCTGACTCCTCTCCCCGCTACCTTCTATTTTACACAGGGGCCCCAAACACACTAAGTTTCCGGATCCCTTATCAGCTATTTTACAACCCCCACACCACCTCGCTATATGACACTTGAGTCTCTAATTCCCTCTTTCATACAACGCAAGAGTTAATTTCATCTGAACTCGATCACTCATCAGAGCACCATCCTTAATCAATCACAAACACAACTGAGAGGGTCTCTTTTCTCCTTTAGCACTTCATGGGTCAGTTTATTCTACCAAAACTTTTAGATTGTTTATTATTAAATATTATTAGACTGGGCTACCAACACCTGCCTACTACTCGCTACCAAGCCCTAGTTTCCCCCCTCATCATCCCATTTCATATCCTCCATTCTAGGAGCGATTGGCCCCGCTGCCCTCCACCGTGAGCCACCCTTAAAATACCCAACCTCAGAATGGATGCGTTTCTGCAAGGCTTATGAGGAACATTTCCTGATTGCATTACATCACAGCGTTACTGCTAAAGCCATCAAAGGTGCGTTTTTTAAGAACCCTCAATTGAAATCCTGCCAATCTCAAATAAGTCCTCCAAGGAGGAGGTTGTTGCCTTGTGCCCCGTGTCAGTTAGGTAAATAATATGTTTTGGCGCGGCGGTTTGTTGCTACATTAATCAGTGTATGTTTCGTCTCACGAAAGAGCCAAGAGTACAGGCAAGAGTGCAATATTCAGTATCAGTCAAAATAGATTTTGTGTGTGGTTGAACCAGTACTTGATTCAGTGGTAGATGGATAATTTAACATAAGTTAAAAGGAAAATATCTGTAGGATTATATTATTATCAACAACAAAAACTTGGAGTCCAAGTAAAAGTATGGAAAAATTAAGAACAATACTTGTAAGTAACAGGATGATGCACTCACAACGCCATCATGGCTACGTATTGAAAGTTAGGGGACCAGCCGCAAAGAGCGGATTGCTGTGGTCGCCATAGCATTATACAAATAATAGTGATATGTACATTTCCAAATCAACATAAAAAGCCCCAAATCTACTTGGAAGATCTACTTGATTTTAAGAGTCTAGCGTAAGACAATCGAATAATTTCATGACCGCGATCCTTGAGTCGCTCTGAGGACAGGTGGCAAACTGAGGAAGAGGGAGTGAATGTAAGCTCTCAGAAGCCTTCCCCGACAGTAATGTATATATCATCTTGCATGTCAGGGAAGACCATGTGACCTGTGACATTCCGGTTGAGGATATAGACTATGTAATGTAGACACCTCCTCGTTATACTAGCCGGGCGTGGAATGCCAATGCCAATATTCACCTCCGGAAACTAGCCCAACTAGCTTTTGGCTTTTGTCACAAGGATAGCCAGAGTTCAAATATGACGTTTAGTTCACTAGATTCCAGCATTGCCTGTAATGTGACTTGTGGAAAATGTGTTGAACTTGATGATGTTATCTTGTACTAGCCGCGTTTTTAACCGAGGGGTCTAGTGGCATCATATTTTAATCAATTTGAATGACTTGTTGGCCTAACTCTGGTGCTCTTAAGAGTTTAAAATCCTGTGACAACTGTCTCAGTCCCCTCACAACGCAACACCACTCCTGGAATGTGATGAAGTTGTAAACAACAGATCTACAGAGCAAACAAGGGCTTTTTATCCACATGCCCTTTGACATTTGCCGTGCTCCTGTCCCACTCAGTTTTCTCACGGGGTCAGATCACAGCACTGTGCTTCGCCGTCTCCCTGCTTGCTTCAACACCCTGTCACCCACCAGTTAACCTTGTATTCCAAACTCTATAGGGAGCCACATTAAAAGCAGACCTCTGCACCTGTTCCTCCTTCCTACCGTGTCATTGTATGTGTTGTATTGATCAACATATTCAGAGTCACAGTAACGGTCAATCCTTTGGAGACTTATGTTGATGTCTTTATAAGATGTGTGCACACAGTAGACCTAGTTTGCACTACATCCCAACATGCATTATGACGGTGCTAAGAAGACAGCTGCCATCATTCGCGGTATGCCTCTCGATGCATACCAAGGAGCTGTGAAAACCTAGCATAATCTCCTGAGAGCATTTAGATGATCCAATGATCAACAGTGACATAAAGGCCAACTGATGCATATATGCAAACTTGTATTAAGAGGATTAAGGCTGTCTGATCAATGCCTATCAAATGTTTCATCACAAACATGATGGTCTCCTGGATAATGGAAACATAATAACATGCTGTATCTAACGGAATGTTAGCTATCAGGGGGCTTATACAGTTTAGAGCTGCAACAATTAGATGGCTAATCGATTAGTTCATCTAATCTAAAATATTTTGAAAATGTATTGTTTAAGTAACTTTTTTATTCAAAAATGTCAGAAAAGGCTTTTTCAGTCTCTCAACTGTGGCAATGTCCTGCTTTTCTGTGTTTTATTATGTAAAATGGATATCTTTGAGACATAAGACATGTAAAGACACCACCTTGGACTTTGAGACTCATTAGTCATGCTTGGACATTTGTAATAAAATTTCTTTCGGACCTCAATAATGGATTAATTGTTTTGAGATTTAAATTTTAATGAAAATAATTGTTACATCACTAAATTATGTATAGTCTTGGATGCAAACTTAGTAAACTGATTTGTACTGCATGAAACTGACCGGTTAGGGTTAGCCTAACCTAACTGACTTTGGCCGTTGCTCTCGCCTTTTAGAAATTGGAGTTGATTGCATGTAGAAATGATATGGAGGATATTCCATCCAGCTTATGGTGACCAGAGGGAGCTATTATCATCAAGTCAACGCCAATCAAGTCTTTAAAGAAACACATTAATCCATAAAGCAACCGCTGAGGTTTGAACCACGTGGTTAAACAAAATGTCATCAAAAGAACATTACAGTCAAATAATATTCACATAAAAGAAAAAAATGCAACTGCATGTTGAACACAATTGCACTGAACAGGGGAAGTGAACAAATAAAAAAGGTTGCTTATCTTAACCCTATGTCACCTTTGAATACACTGGAAATATAGAGGCCTGGCCAAGCAGTCACATGGGTTCACTTGGTGAAAGAAACTCAAAACCGACACCTTCTGTGTCCAAGAACATGTGATGTGAGATGCACAAACACACTCACGAAGGGGAAAACCACGGATACATCTTCTCAGTTATGCACATTGAAAGCCGAAATCAGTATTTTATACCATCCTCCACATGTGTGATGACAAAGGTAAAGTTGTCAGTGGAGAATGCATAATAATAACCAAGATAAATAATGCAATATGCACAAAAAACTCAGTCTAAGAAATTAAAAACAACACCTGATGATTCACTTCACCCCTGCAGGAGGTCATCCTGTTACATAAGAGCTGACAGGATCTAATATGAACACCATGTCTTCCACTGTAGCTTAAGATCTGCATGGAGTCAGGCTGTCTCTGTAGTCCCACACCTCTGATTGGCAACGTGGATTAACGGCAGAGAAATGGTGAGTTATGAGCATCCACAGCATCACAGTATCTTGCCCTTCTGCCATGAAGACATGAGCTAAAAATAAAATGCTGTCCCTATGGGAGGAGGCATAGTGGGGATTGAGAAGGTTGCAAAGTGTCCACACTGGACATGTGGACTCCAGAAGCTATTCACCTGACAGATGAAGAAAGCGAGGCTTTTGATGCTCATGCAGTTTTCCCCCTCAAAAAGGTGCATACATCATTTTGCTACAGATTTGCAATTAGAGTAGTAAAACATTGGTGCAACACTGCATGTGGTGCATTTTCACAACACAAACACCCACATGTTTACACACACACACACACACACACACACACACACACACACACACACACACACACACACACACACACACACACACACACACACACACCGCTGAGAAGCCATAAATCAGAATCTACCAATTCCAAATTTGACCTGAGCTCAATTACAGGTCCGTGTTTATTATTAGAACAAAGGCACTCATATTAAAACACCTCTTTGCGTTTTTATTTCCTAGGCAGTGCAGCCTGTTATTTTCAGCACCAATGAACACAGATACCAAGCTTAATTTACAAGTTTCAAAGACACATTTTTGGTCAGGTAAAGTCAGGCTACTAGACGGAAAAACTGCAAGAGTTTCAACACGGTGCAAATGAGAAAGAGGAGAATGTACATTATTACACCAAATAGCCAAAATCTTAAAGTTTGAAGAAATTCATCCACAGAGAGGAGCAAGAGGAAAACTCACAACGTGAAGACATAAAGTAGCAAAGACACGTAGGCCTAAATCATCAAGTCAAAGCAAAACCTTGCACACTGCAAGCTGACAGGAAACTTTTATTTCCTGAGCTTCAGGAGTCATCTTTATGCTCACAAAAGACAGCAGAGACGCCATGAAACCGGTTACCTTGCACTGTATAGCAAATATTTCCACAGAATCCAAGCAATTTAGAAGGGGGAAAAAAAAATCACGTCTTCCGTGAAGCCTTCCACTGGGGACGTAATTCTCCCTTCTGGCAGCCAGTGCGCTGCTGCAGGACAGCTGTTGCTGACGCAGTGGTGTCCTGCAGTGAAACCGGAGCAGTCGCTGCAGGTAGGATCAGTTCAGACCTTTGACACTTCGGAAGCACAGCGGCTTCCCAGTTCCCACACAGCTGGCATGCATTTCCGCCGGACAGGTGCTTTTACTACTTTTACGCAAATATAGAGCCGACAGTGTTTGCGCAGTGCTTCAACTTCAGGTTACCATAAACGGTTTTATTTGACCTAGCCGCCTGCGATCTGCTTTAGAAAGGATTTATTTACACAGATTAATAAATATATTAAATATGATATTGTCATGATAAATGTTTTTAGCACATTATCTAACATACTAACTAATGTATTTTAAAAGTGAACCGATATCTAACATACTAACTAATGTATTTTAAAAGTGAACCGATAGGCTTATTATGTATTTAATAATATGTAGTTTGTAAACTATTATAGCCATTATACTTGTTATTACAAACGTGTAAAGCTTCTAGCACATACATACTGATAAGTCAAGTATTTAGATGTCTGTGTTTCACTTCATGTTTGTCGTATTTTGCAATGTGTGCAATTGAAAACACATAGTCTTTTGTGAATGTGCAACACAAATAAATCACGAGAAATCGTGATCTGGTTTAGCTGGTTTGATATCTGAGGATTAATGCATTTAATGTTTTATTTTTATTTATAATTTTGTCAGAAAAAAGTTGAAGGATGCGAGTTTATGGATGACAACTTTTAAAGAATAAACACAAAGAAGCTTTGTATCCCAGACACCAGAATAAAATGAAAATATAAATTAAGGAATGATAATTATGGGGATGAAAATCACAACAAAAGCCTTTCTTTCTGTCAGGGCATCAAACATGATTGAAAGTGGATGTGTTTGTAATCCTTTCTAACCAGGATAAGGCCAGGATAATGACTTTATAAGTACCAAATTCCTTTTATGCAAACATATGTAGACCTGAAACCTATAGCTCTTGTTCTCTGCTTGTTAGAAGAATACAATCATATTTAAAAAGAAATAAAAAAAAGTTCTGTTCCATATTCAGGGCAAATTGGTGTGCCACAGAAACTGTTCAAGGACCATGCAAATGAGAGAAACAACTATGTTTGGGTTAAGCTGTCAAAAAGAAAAATACGCAGATTTCATATTACATTTGATCAAATATCCTGTGCCGTGAGAGGGACAAGACTGCCCACAGTGAATCTTCCTGTCAACACGCAGGCTATATTTGGCTGAAAGGTGTGCAGTATGATTATACAAGGAAAATGATATCTGTGATTACATATGTTAACTGGGTGTTATCTGATTAATGGAAATTGAGACTGCTGCACATTTTCCCACCCTCTCCTTTCTCGTGTGAGAAAACTGTAAAATCACATTAAATATTGAAGAAATCTGGCCGTGGCTTTGTCAATGTATCAATAATTGGTTGGATTTGAGTGCAGATCTTAATATGTAGAATAGGAAGTATATATTCTGTAAAAAAGAAGATTATTTACAATTTAGATTTAACCCTAGCTCCACACAATAATGTCTTCAGGTCTGCTTTATATTAAATCAAGATTATTGTATCGATTTTTTAAATGTCTATCCTCACTTTTTTTGGGACTACTTTTATCTCAATACCATTTAAGTAATTAAATGTATTTTTTATGTCTATCAATCGGGTGAAATTGAGATTAAGTTGTTTAACTGTCTTGTCTATAAGGAATGTCGACTTTTTGTAATTTATCTTGATGTTTTGGCTCTGTGACTACGAAAAACTTGAGTTGGTCTTCGGTAAGGGAGACTTTTTCATATTGTAATTTGCACATATATTTATTATAAAACAAAGCTTGGAAATAATTGTAAAAGTTGTAATATTAGCAGTAGCAATAGTGGTAGGCTACTAGTCGTACTATTAACGGTAGTAGGAACTAATTAAAAAAGGATTGAGGGGAGCATTACTGAGGTGACACCGTTACCATGGAGACACAACAGCTACATCCGGACGCTCCGTGAAAAAGGTTTGTTTTGGCGATGTGGTTATTAGTTTCGCTGCTAAATTAGTGAAATTAGTCACAACATGCCTACGATACAAAAACACATTAAAATACAATGACTAATTCTACTGCTGAATATTACTTCTAAAAGAGGAAGTAATACTTTAATGTTCTAGTTGTGTCCCTGTTATCTGACGCTAACTGACGATGTAGGTCTGTGTCGCCTCACTTGACGTTGTGTTTCAGGCAGATACTAACATGGACTCTGAGTACATAAAGAGACACCTGGGGAGGTGTCTGGCGGAGGGACTCGCTGAAGTGGCCGAGCAACGGCCGCCTAACCCCGTCCAGTATCTGGCCCACTGGCTCTACAAGTTCAACTCTAATGCAGAGTATGAGGCTGAGGTGAGCTGGTGTTCCGTTACCTGCCGCTAGAGGGAGACATTACACAACATAAGGTGTACACAGTGTGATAGAATATTCTAGGGTGGAGGTTTATGGTATATTGTTGTATTGTCCAATTACATGATCATGTCTGTGTTATTCCAAAATAAAGGATTGCAAAATGAAAATCTGCAAAATGAAGCAACAGGTATCAAAATATTTTAAATTAAGTACACATTTAACAATAAAAAAGAACAATATAAAAGTGGCAAACGGAAAGCATGCTTATATCCATCTTCTATTATTGTTGTGTATTTTATTCTAATTTATTTTTGTATTATTTTAACTGTCTGATTTGTCTCATTGAGTAGTTTTATTTTCTGACAAGCTATACTTTTATCATAACCCCAACATATCAGTACTGTAATGTGGGCAAATCACATCAAACTGTTAAAAATAGCAAAAACAAATATTGGAATAAAATCCCCAGAGAAGATAAATACAAACATTAATCATAAAACATGTGGCAAATAAATGATGTTCAATGCCCTTACACAGTAGACTAAGCTTTCTAAATAAAGGGGTTAAATTGCACTCCACCTCTGCGAGATCACTAAATGTAATGCAGTCCCTCAAGCTTGTTTAGTTAATAATACACATACCTACACTTAAGCCAAGTTTGTATGAAAGACCCTTTAATGTAATGGAATTTTGATATAGCATTGCTACTTTTACTTTGAAAGATACTTCTTGTTCCATAAGCTCATACTTCTACTGAGCAGGAAAGGATAACACCGACTTAGACCGTCTAAGCTCCTTAAGCTGAGTGCTAGGAAGCCTATAGGTCACCTTTTACCTTTAGCTTAGATTCAGAAAGTGCTACCAGAGTCCTGCATGTGTGGAGATACAGCTGTCTCAGGTCAAGAAATAAAAGGTCACAAGGTCAAACCCTTTACAAACCTTAAAAGGGCACTATAACATGCATGCATCAAAAGTGCAAACAATGTATTGTAGTGTACTTTCACAGACTTTGTTGTTATTTGCAGAAAAAGGCCAATTTGGAAGTCCTGGAGCAGGAGCGAGCAAAAGCAAGAGAAGAAGCGCTGCACCAGGAGAGGCTGAGGGAGGAGGAGCGAAAAATCAGAGAGGCTGATGAGGAGTCTAGAAAAGTATGTTGAGCGAATAAAGCCCTGGTTTGACCTAGACTCTGAATACAACACATTATTATTATTTACCTTTGATCATCACTCCTTTTGATTTATGTTTCTTGTTCCGTTGGAAGAAGTGAAGTTACTTTGTTTTGTTAAGTCATTTTCAGAAATAGTTTTGTGTGATAAGCCTTTGGAAGGTGAGTACTTTCCCTGTTTTGAGAAGGCCATTTTTGTTAAGACAGAGTGTTTTGAGAAACCTCAGGCAAAGGTGCAAGAGAGGAAAGGCATAACTTTAATGTACTCCATTTACAATCCAATTGGAGTCCATGTTTTACTTTACATGCCATCTTGAGCATAATCCTTCAAGAGCAAATCACAACATCAACAGGTCTCTGAGAAAAAGGATTCACCCAGAACAGCCAAAACCGGAGCTGCTGAGGACAACAAGCCTGTGGCAGAAGAGAAACCAAACACCCCTGTTCCAGAAGACCAGGGGGACACAGACGAACAGCAAACCGATGCTCAGGAAAATGTGATTGAATCGGAGGTGATAAAAAGAGAAAATCGTTTTTTTTTGGTGGTGGTGGTACCTCTCTGATCTTTTCCAATCACTTCTTTGTTTTGATTTTGGCTTTTGATTAATTTACTTTTCTGAGGTGTTTTCAGTGGTGTTTATTATTCTACAAAATGCATGATAATCCTCGTGTGGTGTGTAAAAGCCACCAAATGATTCCAAATTGTGTATATGCTGGGCGAAGGTTACAGATAATGAAACCAGTCCACAGTCCCCTGAGAGGAAACCTTTGGAGGCCAGTAGTTCGTCCCTTTCGGAGGTCAAAGAGGAGTCTACAGATATCACTGTTGAAAAAAGCGAAGTGGAGCCGAGGAGCGATCAAGAAGAAGAGAAACAAGAGGAGGAGCCAAGTGTCAATCAAGTAGAAGAGGAAACCATAAACATGGATCAAATGGAAGTGAAAGAAGATGAGGAGAAGGTGATATGAACAAATTAAATATTTCCATTTCAGTACCATGATGTGAAAAAACTTGTGAAAAAGTAGCTAGTATGAGTTCTTTTTGAAACAATTTGAGAGCAGATGGCAACACATCTGCCTTTGTTTCACTGTGATGCTTAAATGACATGTTATTCTGTCTGAAATTGGCTCTGCAGGTGGTTGATGGAGCTGACACGACTGAATCCGAGCAGACTGAAGCTTTACGCTCGACTCCCAGCCGAGACCCTGATGACTTAGAAACTGACAAACCAGACGAGGTACGAGACCAACAAAGCCCTCGTTCTCCCCGGGACACAGAGAAGGTGATGAAGAATGTGCATGAGAAACATGTAGGTTGCCATGTTTTCAGACTGAGGATGCAAGAGATGCAGGATAAAGAGCGAGGAAAGATAAGGACATGAGCAAGGTTAAGAAGAAGATATGATGCAATGTCAGATGAAGATTCAAACATTCCAGGCCAGATGATGTCAGCAATGAGCCGAGGAGAGAAGCTGTTCAGGTGAAGAAAAGGCAGGTCCACACATCTACTAATTGTTCTACATCACACAATTTCACCAGCAGGCTGATGAAGATGAAACTGGTAAGTTGGAGTCAGCACCGCAGACTGAAGGGCTCAAACAAGAAGAGACCATTTCTACTGAAGAAACCGAACAGGAGACACAGAAATCTGGTTCTCCGCCTCTTCAGGAACACGAAAAGGTAACACATTTTTGCAAAATAACTATTTTTCCAATCTCTGTCTTAATCTTTGCAAACACACCAGGTAGGGGAAACACATGCAGAGGGAGACAGCAGTGTTTGAGTTTGAGAAACAAAATGACTTAGTGGCACCAGACTGCCATATAATCAAAAGATAGAAATGCAAAGACACACTTGTTTAATGCTTAACCAGAGCTCGACTGACCACCTGATCTCAGGAGGCAGACGGACAACTCACAAGTGAGACCACTGATAGCTCGGCTCCAGCTGATGATGACATAACAAAAGAGGGGACAGAGCTGAGTGAGAAACCACAAGAGGAGCCGGAAGACTCTCCTCCTGACACAGAGGACGTCCAGGTCAAGGTACAAATGGACAGCAAGTGAAGCTTGGGAACATACACTACAGAAAGTTGCCGTTTTGTTTCATTGGTTTAAAAAGTTGTAACAAAACATTGTGTTTCTTTTCAGGAAGAAGAACAAGGTACAGATCATACGTGAGCAAGGCGGTGTTTTACAACCCGGTTTAAATAGTTTTGGTTTAATGTGAAAATATAACACTTCTGGAGAAATAAACATTTATCCCCACTATATATACTTTTTTGTTTATTCTAATATCTATTTGCTTGAAATAGTAAGCTTTCTTCTATGATTAAACTACAACTGAGCAGGCAAGAGGTGAATATGAGTGCTGATGGTGACTGTGACTTCCTGCCAGATGAATAAAGTCAATCTATAAATACACTTCAGCTGGACGTAATGGAATACATGAATATGAATTCTAATTGTACAAGCTTGTAATATCTTGCTACCATGCAATGATGAGGTAGAATATATATCTAAAAAATCCAACTGTGAAATACAATTCTTGAATTAAAATATTACTCACAACAGTTATATTAACATCGGAACATACTTAATATACAAAAGGTATTAGTAGTATGCATATTGGCCCATTACAAAATAAAATATATTACACTATTCATATAATGTTTATATATTATTGTGAGCATCGTATCACTGTTCTGACAGAGGTGGAGCTCATCTGAACTACTGCATACACTGCTGGGTAGCGTAATCTATAGTATAACTGAGTCATTCGACAGAAAAAGGTGGAATCTGGGTGATACAAATCTGCTGAAATATAGGCCTATTCCTTCTAAACACATCTAAAACTTGTTAAATAGCAATAACTAACTCTTAACTTGATGAATCCACAACAAGTAGAGCCTAAAGTATTTTTATTATTTTTTATACATTATACAAAGCTTATTTACATCGGAATGTCACTGGTGTTACGTGTTACCAGGAAGAGGAGTAACACCAGTGACGATTTGGAGAAAACACTACCATTTTAACCAAATTGCTGCCATGTGTCAGACCAAATATGGCTTCAGTCAATATCAAAATCGTTTAACTCTTGAATACAATACATTTTCCCATTCAGATGTTCACCCCGAGGGCTATGCAATGAGTAACACTAATGACAGACTTGAAAGACGCACGTAAAATTTGAAGATAAAATGACACCATTTACTAACAAAGTAAGACGCATCTGACTTTCCTTATGTCTGTCTTTGTCCACTGCACTGCCTCAAATGATCTTTTGTTACAGGAGGCACTTCAGAGACAGTACATTACTTAAAAAAAAAAGCGTTTTGTGTAGCAGTAACACCAATGACGTAATTTTGGGTGACTGACATTTATTGGATATTATTAATAATAATTTGCGTTTTTTTTACCATTTCAGTGTTATATTTAATGTATGTAATGTTATGTAAATATGAATGAGATTTATTTATTGAAAAAAATATATTTTAAATGAAAACTATAGGCTCCACTTCCATGTATGATCAAAGTGACAAGGCAGTTCCTTGAACTTCGCATTTTAAATAAATTGCAATTTATGTATAAAACCATTTTTTTCATTTTTTTATTTAGTACCATTGCAAAGACAATCTTTATTTATTCAACATAATGAATGTGAGTAGTAGGTCAACGTCATGAATTTTGGTGTCTGCAAAAGTAAGTGACAGTCCTTCCACCTTTTCTGTAGAATGACCCAACTAGTATAATAATGTGTTAGGTAATTTATATTTTGGATTTACAAATTGAATCTGAAGGCCAACTACAAAGAAACTAAAGCTGGATTTATAAATGAAGTGGAGTACAATATTTGCCTCCAAAGGGTAGTGGAGTAAAGTGACATAAACTGGAAATACTAAACTTTAATGTATTGACTTAAGTGCAGCTTTTGAGTAAATATACTTACTTTCCACCACTTCTGCCATGGGTAACATTTTCCCCGAATGACGGTGCAGTTTTCCTTCAGTGACCATCAACCAGAAGGAGGAGGGACACATGCTGGGAAGTATAAAAACGACTTTTTAGTATTTATTTTTCGGTATCTGCTGCAGACTCGATAACGGCGCCGCTTATCAAACTTAGCTGCAGTTAATCACGTGTTCTCATCAGTATCTGGGTCCAAAAAGGGGGCGGGGTTTGGAAGGATCAACTTTAGCTGGAATTTAAATGCGCTTTTTAAGCGAGGCAGCAACAGAGAACTTGTCAAAGCCAGGATGCATTGAAGTAAACGGACAGAGAAGAGAAATGGCGTTGGGAATCATAGTCCCGGCCTTGGCTGCCATTGGTAGCCTCATATCCGGATTTATGAATTATTTCACTGACATGTTTCTGACAACTCCGCTGAGAGCCACCCTCAAACATTTGGAGGAGACCGAACTGAAAACCCTAAAAGGAGGTGAGTGGTTGTTCTCCGCCAAAGAATGCCAGAGTTGTTGTTTCATTAATTGTCAAAAGGGTGTTGAAATGAGCTATTGTTAACTCCTGTTACTCAACTCTTTTACCCTTTGCCCAACTCTTTTACCCTTTACCTTGTTTCCTCACAGAAACCAGAGTCCTGAAAGCTAGGTCTCTGTGGGAGGGGTCGGGAGCTGTCATCATGGCAGTGAGGAGACCTGGGTGATTTTTGTGCAGAGAGGTAATGTCATGCCAGTGTTTTTAGTGTATTCTCTCTATGACCAAATGTCCTTATGACAGTTATTGGCTTTATGATGGGAGGGATTTTATTATTTTTTATTATTTGCCAAGTCATTTTATCCCACACTGTCTGCCATTCTGTATTGAAGCTGGTGTATGGTCTTGATATTGAGTAACATATTTAGATCATAGACTACAATAAATTGAAGTATTATTTGCTTCTTCTACATAATTTTATAGAAATGTACCCAAAATCAATCTTGATATATTTGCAATGCAAGTCAAATTTCAGACTTGTTCTGACCATTAAAGTATTATCGTCGTATCTCTGGGAACTTTCTATAGTCTTAATTTGGAAACTAAGACAGTTTTCTTAAATCGACATGTTGCTTGCAATTTGTTGCCTTGCCAACAAGATTGCAATATATTGAATCTTAACACCTGTAGCTGGTGCCATCATTCTACCAAAGCCATAGTTTATCAATTATCATAATGTGTGCACCTTCAAATAAACAACGTAGGCAATACATGCAAATTGACAACAGTAACCACAAGACCTTGAATTTGTATATGCCTATGTTTACCAGTTGATGTGTGTGGCTTCTTTGTATTACACAGTGAGTTGTTGTTCACATGACTGTTTGAATCCTCCCCGGCTGCAGGAGGCTGCAGAGCTGTCCTCTCTGATGCCTCAGCTGGATGAGCTCGGGGTCCCTCTGTACGCTGTGGTGAAGGAGGACGTCGGCACTGAGGTCCAGAACTTCCAGTCGTTCTTCAAGGGGGAGGTCTTCTTGGATGAAAAGGTGGAATTATGTTTCTGTTATGAATTGGTACTTTGTTCTGGTCAGTTAATAAGAGTCATTCAAAATCTGTGAAGAATCAGTTTAAGTCTAAATGAATGAATAGGTTTGTCTGCTTCTTTTGCAGAGACGTTTTTATGGACCCCGTGAGCGGAAGATGGGTCTGCTGGCATTCCTGCGTGTTGGGGTGTGGATGAATGGCCTGCAGGCTTTTAAGAGGGGCTTCATGGGAAACATTTTGGGAGAAGGCTTTGTCCTGGGTGGGGTCTTTGTCATTGGACAAGGACAGCAGGTAAAACCTCCTTCTGTCAAGTTGTGTTTGAACACACCACAGAACACACACAAGTCAAAAAAGCACACTTGGAACTGTATAATGATGTTTTTTGTCCCATTTCTCCCACAGGGAATACTTCTGGAGCACAGAGAGATTGAATTTGGAGATAAAGTCAATGCTGAAGATGTCATCCGAGCTGTCAGAAGAATAGCACAAGAACTTCAGCCTTTCGAGAGCAAATAATGATCTGTATTACCCATGCAGGATAAGAAAATATATATATCACAAAGTCTAAAACCAAAATGATTCCAAGCTAAGAATACAAATATGAATGCTTAAGAATGTGTAGTGGTTAGTGTGTGACAAAAAAATGATATTTGCAAAGTTTGTTGGTGCACTGGTCTCGTGGAAAACCTTGATAAATGTTGTGGTATGACTGTGAAGTAAGAGGCTCCGAGTGTGTTAATGATGGTCTTTCTTTAAACTCAAGAGGGAGCAGACCTGATGTCAACACTCAGTTTCCTGTTTTACATTGTTGTACTGTTGTGTTATCTTGGGAACCAAGAAACCCTTTGACCAATAAAACGTGGCTTTGTGCTCCACAGTTTGTTTTTATTCTTACTCGCTACTTGGAAAAAGTTGTTCAGATGTTTGACTCCCTGACAAGAGTCATCAGAGGTCCCATGGCAGAGAGAGAGTGGGAGTGTTTTCAGAGCCAAATGTATAATCAGTCTGGTTTCCATCATCGAGGCTGCCTTAAAAAGTCAGTACATTTAAGGATTTTTAACAGCTTTTATTTGTGTGCATTCTGCTTCTTATTTGAACTTAGATTTGTGCTTAATCGAAATATTAAGCACAAATAATAATCTAGAACTGCGAACAAAATCCCTGCCTTTTTTTAATCCAAACATTACATTTTCAAGTAATATAGATAAAATATGATTAGCAATATATCGTGATCACTATTTAACAACAAGGTACACCTTACATCAGCCTCTTTCTTTTGTAGAAATACTAATTTTCTGCCTCCTACTCCGACGCTGTCCGTTGATTGACATACAAGTCATCCAATCAAATTCTCTTAATCAACTGCAGCCAATCGACATGGCCATGGGGCGGAGCTTATTACCACTCAGAGAAATGCCCCAGCCAGGTGCGTTAGGTCATTTTGCACAACATGGACACAGGTAGGCTAGCAAGCTGACTTTAGTTTAGTTATTTACAGAATGAATGTGAGGGATGCACGGATAACTTTTTGTTGTCACCGTCAACGTACTGCCCATGTTAGTATGGCAGTTTTTTTAACAAAAAGAAGAGCTGCCTTGCTGTAGCCTACTGTGTGTTTTCGCCTCGAAACGTAAAATGTTCGGTATGTATTTTATTTTTGTTGTGTATCTTTTTCGAGATAAGGCTAAATTTATTCCCCAAAGTGTGACATTTTAAAGTTGAGCAGCAAAAAATAAGACTCAAGGAAACGAATTTATCTCAGTTTCGATAATTAAACGTAAAAAATGTCGCCTTTGTGACTGTTTTCTTTAACTTCGCTCTCCGGGGTGCTGAAGCACGAGCCTGCTGGGGGAAACCCCAAGCAAACGACATGAGGACACACACTGTCAGCAAGGGTTCAGTTTAGTGACATGTTGTAACCATGCTATCAACACCATGTGACATCTTGATTCTTAAGTGGGTAAAGTCTGAGCTAAAAACACCTATACAATCCTGTTTAACCTCACCTGCAGAGACACATACTGTACATGTGTTGGCCTTTGTCACAATGGCCTGGATGTAATTTGAGCTTCAATGACTAGATACATGTGTTAATGATGTGTTGCTGTACTTCATGTATTTTTCTGTGAGACTCAGACAGGTGAGAGAGATGCAACATGGGCAGGATTAGACCAAAATGTGAGTCCAGGAAGCCAAAGAGTCAGCTGTCATGTCACACAGCAACCTGTGTCGGTGAGTTGGATTATCCGGCCATTTCAGTCTACTGGCAAACTACTGAGAAAGACATAATAGTCTGTGAATGATGGAAACACAGCGGACAATTTGCCTGAGGATCCCCTTCCTTCTGCTATATGCTGCTGCTGTAGGCTCCTCCACCCGGAGCTGAGTCCCCTGTGTGAAAGGGGACCCTGCCAGCCTCCATGGCTCACTCATCAGACCCGTCCCGCAGGGAGAAGACCCCCGGGAGCCAAGGGTCACACACGGCTACCCGCAACCTCTTACGAAAGAAGGAGCAGCGCCGGCGTGGAATCCGATCCAACTCGCCCATGGGCCGGGTCATCCTCATCAACTCTCCTGTGGATGGTGAGGAGGAGTTAAGCTGGCTGCTTGTGTAGTGCACATTACATCCTGCTGTCCACTGTGGATAAACACTGGTTTAGAAGTCTGGCAAAGAACGGCTGGTCATTCCTTTTCTGAAATTAAGATCCGGATTAGATTTAAATGTGGCAAAATTGAGATTTATTTGGATACCTTTACTTATCTCACACCTGCATAAGACTGACCTGATCTCAAACTTCTTGTCTCAAAAGAACATGTAAAAGGTTGTACATTACTACTGTCTTCATTGAAGAAGCAACATTACATCATAGACACAAAATTAAACAATTTCTTAACTTGGCCTGAATTAATCAATATAATGGAGTCAATAATTAATAATGCACCAAAATAATAATCGAGCCTTTAACTCAAAAGCCACAGAATACAATGATTAAATGTAGTTGTTAATTAATCCATACTTTAAAATGACTTAACTAGTTTCCTTGATTGAGACCTGTAATCTATAATGACTTGTTTTTCTTCTTTACTGCCCTGATTTGGATTGAAATTAGCATGTTTTTAGGGGAAAAACACGATAAAAATAAAAGTAATCTGGACTTTTTTGAAAGTTTCAATAATGTAGAAGACTATTTTGTCCTCAATAAACCTTCTAGCAGAAGTAATCTTGATTTGCATTAGCTAATGGTAGATATTGGACATTTCTTATGTTTGAGTAGTAAGAGAGAACCACTGCTCCATTTTACAAATAGTCAAATAGGAGAGTAGTCGGATACAGGCCTTCATGAATGACATTCATAATTATAATAAGGTGTATTTCTTCTAAGATTAGTGACCATCACTAACACAGCATCCATGTGATATTATTATTTAGGTGGAGATGACTGTGAGGACCTCCATACAATCACAGTGGATAAGAGTGTGGACGGCAAGCTGGGCTTCAGCGTGCGAGGAGGCTCCGAACATGGCCTCAGCATCTTTGTCAGTAAGGTGGAGGACAACAGTACAGCAGGTACACACTGTGAGCTACAGGGGAATACAGTGGTGCAGTGATGGTGTTTTGTAGTAGGTTGACCCGGAAGTTAGCCGATGGGGTTTTTCTTATCAGGATAATCTCCACATATTAACACCACTTTTATACTAGTTGAAGAGTAAATAAATCACCAGTAGTAAAAAGCTGTGTTATAAATGACCTGCATCACTGTTCCGTCACTAATGCTAAGCTAAAGGCGGCTAATGTTCAGTGTGATGACATTAAGTAGTCTCATTCAGACACTTGTTAGCAACTGAAGTTTTTCAGACATATAGAAGCTTGACATTCACAATGGGGTATATTTGACATGTTTGAAGACTTAGAAAAATATGTGACAATTGTGTAAGCTTGTATTAACCAGAGACCTTACGTCAGGGATCTAACAAAAAAATTGATTTAAAAAAGAATCGGGAAGGGCTAAAATGCTAATTCCTTTCCGTATGTGTGTTTTATAGAGGAGGCAGGCCTGTGCGTCGGGGATAAACTGGTGGAGGTGAACGGTATCAGCCTGGAGAGCATCACCATGAGCAGCGCTGTTAAAGTCCTGACGGGCAACAACAGGCTGAGGATGGTGGTGAGACGCGTTGGCAAAGTCCCCGGCATCCGCTACTCCAAGGAGAAGACTACCTGGTAATGACAAACCGTTACTGTTGCTCAGTTCATCACAAACATATTAGATTCTGACATTTTGTCATTCTTCCAGGGTGGACTTGATACACAGGCGTATGGTGGTGGAGGAGAGCGGATGCACTCCTTCAGACGCCAGCTCAGGAAGCGCCCTCCAAAGGATCGTCCACCTCTCCACCACCTCCGACGACTACTGCCTGGGCTTCAACATCCGGGGGGGGAAGGAGTTCGGTCTGGGCATCTACGTCTCCAAGTGGGTACATCCGCTATGGAAAACATTGTCCTAAAAACCTTTTATGTTTATAGCTTTGTGAAGACATTAAGTCATGAAATGATCTCTCCTTCTGTCTTGTGGCCTCAGGCTGGATCCTGGAGGTCTGGCTGAGCAGAATGGGATAAAGATGGGGGACCAGATCCTGGCTGCCAATGGAATAAGCTTTGAGGACATCAGCCACAGTAATGCTGTGGAGGTGCTGAAGAGCCACACACATGTCATGCTGACCATCAAGGTGAGAGTGATGGACAGCTTTTAAACCCTTTATGTCCAGTGCGGCATGCAATAAATATGTATTATGAATTCCTAGCAGATAGAATGCTCAAACCATGGAGCCTTCAAAGTCCTAAAGATTACCTTCTTTAATTATTTTAAACAACATAATTATATTGTTCATGCAAGACTATACATTACATGTTTGGATTATTGTAACAAGCACCAATCTACATAAAAAAACGACATTACTTACATCAATGAAAGTTGATTTTAAATAGGGCACATCTCTGTGGTCAACAGAAACAGATTAATGTTCAGAAGTCTTTACTGCCCAGGTTAGATGACCCGACACACATTTACCTTCCTGTCCTGTTGCCTACCTTTTTCATCTTTAATTCTCTAACAAATGCAAACCCCACAAGCCGCGTTGCCACTCATTCGGCGTAGCGTCGGCGGTGTGTGTGGCAGGGCCCGACAGCTGGCATGCAGTCGTAATATTCCTCGCTCTCTTTACTTGTCGGAGCTTGGGTTTCGCGCTCAGAGAAATAGCCAGGCCGTGTGCATTATTCACCAGGCAGCTGGGATCAGGTGCTGATCAAAGCTTACAGCCGTGTTATCTGTGAGTTTTGCTCCGCGGTCTCTCGCTCTGCCTCTAGAAACTGGCAATCAAAAGTTGCTAGAAAATCACAAAGGGAAATATGTTTTTCTTTGATGGGGTGTGCTGATGGGGCTGTCTGTGTGCTTCTAGAGTTACTCTTTATCAAATATAGCGATCCCATAAAAGTTTCAAGCTCTCTACTGTATCTAATTTGTATATCTGTGGCCATCTTCACAGGAAGCAGGGCGATACCCGGCTTATAAAGAGATGGTGGCAGAATACAGGTGGCTCAATAAGTGTATGTATCTGTTTTTCCATTATCTAGAAAGATCTTTAACGATCGCATAACACGTTGATACTTTGAGATGCATTTTAGTTGGATGATCTTTCGTTTTCTTCCTCAGTGTCCAACGGGACTCAGAAATCCTCCTCCCAGGGTTCAGAATCCAACTCCTCTGGCTCCTCTCTGTCGTCTGGGACTCCGGTGAGCTCTCTGAGCGGCCTGTCGCAGGTCATGTTCCCTCCCAGCATGCCCTTCTGTTCAGACATGGTGGATGTCTGCATCTCTACAGAGGACCAGAGGACAGGGTATTTTCAACCCAAATAAGAACACAACGACAATAAGAAATACGAGACCAAAACAACATTTTATTTTTACAGATCTCTTTACTTTACAAACTTTTTTTTAAAAAGTCTCTTTTCCACTGCAGACATATTCAATCCATACCAGTTAGCGTTGAGCCTTTCAAAACAAGATTTAAAAAAACGGTTTCCTCATAGAACGGCCCACACTAATTATTATTGTTGTATTCATTAGAGAAAGTTGAAACCATTTATTTTAGTTTGTATTGGATTGTAGTATTATTTTGTGTCATATATATATATACAAAATATAAAAATATATATTTAGTGCTTTATTTGAAAATCTCAAAAGAAGCTTTAAATGGACAACATGTTTAGATAAATAGTGCAGCCCTACAACAGGTGTTCACTTACAGACTACACCGGACTTCATGGTAGTTTTTTTGTCCAGGTTTGAGTCCGGGCGAACGGAGACGGCCATGCAGACGGACCTTCCATCCCAGAGGTCGGCTGCAGAAACCACGCGCAGCCTGGGACGAACCACGCTGCTCAAAGACACAGTAATCCGTTCTGGGGAGGGCGGGGGGACCACAGAGTCCACGAAGACAGCCGTGCTGATGGCCCTCAGCCGACCGAGCCGACCAATCAGCCGCTCCCAGAGTCAGGTCACTGTGGCAGGTGAGGAGTAGAAAGAGTTGGTAACACGATGAAATAATGATGGAATAATAAGGCCTCATAAATGACTGTCTGTTGCTATCCAACCAAAGAGATCAAGCAGAAGAAAGAGAAGAAGCAGAAAGAGAAGCACCCAGAGAAGAGCGTCCTGCAGCGCTCCAAGACTTTTGTCAACTTGCTCTTCAGAGGGGGGCGCAGGGGGCGCTCCAAGTCGCCGTCCACAAACAAAGCTGGTAAAAGTAGTTTTTACCTCTTGTTCTCAAAACAAAAGCGAATGACTTTTTGACTGATTGTTCTCTGTGCTGTTTTCAGGGGGCAGACATGTCAGTGTAATGCCAAATTCAGAGATGCTAGGAGTGGTGGAGGACATGGCCCGCAGGCTGCTGACGGAGGAGGAGGTGGCCGCTGTGATGAAGACGTGCCGAAGGGTATGAAAATAAACTGAGACAATGTCGTTTTTACATTTGCTGACCTTTGGACTCTCCATGTAACAGTCTTTGTCTGCAGTTTTTAATCACAAAAACAGATTTCACATTGGTTCTGAGTAATTATAAACTGGGTACTATTTTTTTAATGTTACCCTCAGTACGTGTCGGATCGATCGGTGGAGAACTTGATACGCCACCTGTTGGCCGTGCTGGACAGACCGGAGAAGCTGCTGCTGCTCAGAGAAGTCCGGTAAGCAGAGCAAGGAAAAGAAAATACTTGTGGATTAAACTCTATTCACAAAATAAGGACTTCTGCTCTCCACTCAGGACTGTGTGAATCTAGATAGAGAAACTGTAGTATTACTAACACAGCCAGAAAAGTGAATAAGGATAAGTGAATAAGGATAATCTTATTACATCCAAATGTTTCACAATAAGACACAGATGACTTAATTTAACATCCTTTGTCACGCAACACAACAGTGAAAATGTGTTATTATGATATACCCTGTGGTCTTGTTTCTCAGGATGCTGCTTCCTCCTCCTGACCTGAATGCATTCAATAACCTGGTGACCCCGATCGAAGTCGAGGCCTACGATATCCTCAAGTATCGTTCAAGTGCGTGAGATGCATGAGAAATACTTGGCACATATCTGAACAGTCCTTTATAGGCTCCTTTTTGTAACATTGTTTTCTTTCTTTATTGTAGTCAAAACTCCTCTTCTTCGCTCTCCCAGATCTGGTCGAGTACCAAAACGGCGCCTCATCACTCCTATCCCGGGTCAGTACACTTCATCTCAGCTCTAAATACATCTTTTATTTTTATGTTAGCCATAACCTGGTTTTGTATAAAAGGGTTTTTCTGCAGTTGTTTCTTAGAATTAGAGTGATAGTGTTCTGAGGGAGATATTATATCTATCGAAGGCTATTTCTGCCAAAGAAAAAAAAACTAACCTTGAAGTAAGGTGTGACAAGAATAAAAACACTCTATTCAAAATGAAGAAAATGTGTTTACATTTTAAATCAAGTATTTCAAGCAGAATAATGTCTTACGGTCTAATAAATCTGATAAGCCATGAGAATTTATTTTTTATCCTGCATTCATTTGTATATAAAGGCTTCCATAGGTCCCCAATTTGTAACCACAGCCTGAGGTAACTCTGCTCAGATCATACAAAAGGTTTGTATATAACCTGTATCCTTTCAGATTTCAGGGGAGGCTTTGAGCTCCACAATGCTGAGGAGGTGGAGAAGGAGAGCCACCTGCTGGACGAGCTGGAGAAGCTCAGTGTGCAGGGGCCTCAGGGGGCCAGGGAGAGGCCCCCTACCTCCATGTCCTTCACCCCGCTGCTGGACATCCCAGTGGACGGATACTACTCAGAGTCCAGAGACATCAGATCGCCCTCCTCCAGCGCCATGCTCCCCAACTGGCTGCTGGCCCACAACGAACACCCCCGCCCCCCGCTCCGTACAGACATTGGCACCATTCGCTCCGTCCACTTTGACGAGGTCTCGCTGCATTCTGCCTCAGACACTTCCTCAGAGAGAGGCAGGTCCCCGTTCAGAAACGGACACTCCACGGGTGAAAAGGAGAAAAGTGGAGACAGAAGTAAAGGCGGCGTGTTCACGCTGCAGAGTGCGGCGCGCAGGAGTCGCCCCTTGTTGTCGCAGGTTTTCAGATCGAGTCCGGATCAGCGAGCGGGGGGGGAACAGACTAACGGACACCAGGCTTCCACTGAGAACAGACTCAATGGATCTGAGTCTGAACAGGAGTACGAGCTCAAAACTGTCAGCATCTCCAAGACTAAACAGTCACTGGGTAAATGTGTTCCACTGATTGCATTTCAATTATAAATAGTACGATTTGTCATAATACGGAGAATCTTTTAAGTCCAAGTTTTTAGATATTTCTATATGTCTCTGAGATTACCCTCTCCACCCAACAAACAATAACCCTAGTGTGATTGGATTTGTTTTTGGTGAGCATCAATTTTTAGGCAGACATCTCAAGAACCTGGACAAATGGAGTATAAATGTTTTGCACAGCCTCTTCACTGCACATGGTACATGGTTAACCTGTATTGGTGGAACACCATGTCGTGTAAGCACACAAATCTAAATACTTCACTGACCTCCACTCTTGTTCTGGTGTTTCAGGCATCAGTATATCTGGTGGGATGGAGTCCAAGGTTCAGCCGGTGGTGAAGATCGAGAAGATCTTCCCCGGAGGAGCGGCCTCCACCTGTGAAGTGCTCAAGGTGACACACTAAATTAAACACCCTTTCAATACTTCATACAATCAAACCACCTAATGTGTAATGGAAACCAATATATACTTTATGAAGGTCACATCTTTGTAGAACTTTCCAATAGTATGTACAAGTATTTCCTGAAATAATCAAATGATCCAATCTTGATAAACAATATAAATGATGTTCCTTCAAGTTTGAATTTTTTTATGAATTCAGATGTTGAGGTTCCTAGCTGCAGTAGCTAGCAGTTCCTACCTTGCACCTCACTGTGACTCTCACTCACTCCCCCCAGGCTGGATTTGAGTTGGTGTCTGTGGACGGAGTCTCCCTGCAGGGCGTGACCCATCATCACGCTGTGGACATCATCCGAAAAGCCTTCAGCAACAAGGCCAAAGACCCCATGGTGTTTGTGGTCAAAGTCCCCAAAAACATTTTGAAAGGAGACTGAGACTCATCATGAATTTATTTCTGGGACTAAACGCAGAGACTTGAACTCCGGCCTGAACACAGAGATGTGCTCACAGAGGTCAGGTATGTTATTTTGCCATTCATGTTAAAGTTTGTAGAAGTTATTGATTACATGGACACTGGTAACTGTTCTAAGCTGAATAACAAACTTAGCATAGAGCAGATTACTGGTATTTGAAACGGTAATGATACAATAAATGAAAAGGAATTTTGTCATAAAATTACTTAGTACTATAGAACTTAAGAAGGGTAAACAAACAAGCAAAAATAAGATTTACGGTCAATTATTTGTGTCCTTAAAGCTGGAAATCATTTTAAAAAAAAACCGCTCCTGGTGCCTTAATATTTCACTTTAATCACATCCAAGGAGCCAATGCCTGTTAAAAACATTTATTTTTACATTGTCGTATTAACATCCAATCGAAAAATACAGCAGAGCAGAAGTGTTTATCTGATTTAGATGTGCAGGATAACAGAATGCAAATTGTAACCAGAGTGCCTTTTTAAAAGCCCTGAAAACATAGAATATAAAAGTCTTACAGACGTTAAGTGTTACATTGTAATCTAACTTCTGACCTGCAGAGGGCAGTCATGTGACAAACATTTCTGTTGTCTGCAGCATTTAATGAGAAATACAGTGAACGCCTCACCAAACTACAAACATTGCCTAAAAGTGAACAAGAGGAGAACTGTAGAATACATAATCCAGATGTAAAAGGATATGTATAACATTGGAATTATATACTGTTTTGTATTCAGACGATTAAGAGTCATTTCCATCTTCTGTGGCTTTCATGTTGTTGAAGAAATCTCCATGTACCACACAGCTTTTAAATGGTGTCTTTTTTAATTAAAAACATAGGTTTGTTCAAGAAATGTACAGCATGAAAATAAACGTTTTATGTCTTCATACAAATACTGTGGATTATAAAATGATAGTGAGGAACCAGAAGGACCATCCACACAGCATCAATATACAGGACACACATCTGTAGGAGCAAGATATAATGTGCGACATTGCTTTGGTCTATTCACAGTGGCTATGTTTTATTATTGAGATGGACAGCATCTCAGGTATGTACTTTATGGGTTCTCTACAGAGGATGAGTTTTCAATCAGCAGAAATGAACAAATGTATTTGTGGTTTCTGACATGTACTGAATGGAAGGTGTTAAGGTCATATTTAATCCAGATGTTACTGTGTTCAATGACATTAGACTGTACAGATGTTCATGATATCATTTCACCATTGAGGGTAAAGTGTTCAGGATATAAGAGTTCAACTGGAGGAGGCCTAAGCTTTAAGTCCCTCAAACTGGACTTTATATTATATTATTAAAACAAAATGTGTGCCACATGACTGAAAAGTTAAAGTTTTTGGTCCCTACAAATTCATCTCGCTACATCTACTGGTACTTGTTGGTCATGATGAGTGGATTCACCATCATCAGCACCTCGCTCTGATGCTCTCACTCTGAATGTGTGGCGTCTCACTTCAACTGTCCATCGACAACAAGCGTGGGCTAAATACACTGATCAGAGCTGACACAGAGTGGGAGGGTGGTGTTAGAGCCAGCCTGGAAGGTGGAGTCACAACCAACTCAGGAGGAGGTCTGGTGAAGTTATTCACACACAACAACCTCTCTGACAAATGCCTGGTACTTATCATTGGGATAGTTTCAAGCAGGGTTGTATGAGGTACTTGCACAGTCAGTGTACACCTACAATAGATGAGGATAAACACGGAACGGACAGGAGAACCAGCACAGAGGCTAATCCTGGTCCTGCTGTGGGAAGGGGCCGGCAGCTAAATGAATTGAAGCCACCAAAAGTAAATCCATATCATTTTAAGTGTACACTTTGAATATCTTAGCTGCTTTACCTTACCATCCCTTTTCCAACATTCGATTTCCTGATTTATATTTTGTATTAGTACCTCATACTTAAAAATATGGACTATAGCTTTATTTCAGGGCCAGAGGACTGAGGTGTCCTACAAATGACTAATAGAGGTCATTGGCTTTTAAGTGGGACTCCTTGGAGAATAGACCAATGAGGCAGAATTTGAATATGGCAGAATTTATGGTAATGAGTTATGCGATATCTTGCTTATTTGTCATGTCAACAAACGGCACAATAGAAAGCACATCTGTGACATGTAGGGGTAAATAGTTAACTGACAGTAGTGCAAATCAAAGATGGAGAGAGACAGGTTAAATTTCCGTGGCGGCGATCTCATCAAAGTTGATCTCGTTGCCGCTGCCCTCGTCCTCCTCTCTGCTCTCCAGTTCGTGGCTGAGCTCCTGCAGGTGCTGCTCCAGCTCTCTGTTCCTGCGATACATCTGCACATAGTTCTGCTGCAGCTGCTTCTGGTAGCGGATAACTTTGTCCTTCTCCTCCTGCCATACCCTGTGCTCTTCCTCGAACCCCCCCGCCTGCTGCTCGGCCCGCTGCAGCTCGTAGGCCAGCTCCGCCCTCATCCTGTCCATCTGCACCTTCATGATCTGCAGGGCCTCGCTGCTGCTCTGCCGCTGGGCCTTTGCCTCATCACTCTCGTATGCGAGCATGTGTTCCTCTGCTTCGTGGAACACCTGACACTGTCTGTTTCCTGGCCCCTGATTGGCCAGAGCATCTCTGAGGTGAGCCATCTCTCCCTCAAGGCGTCCCACCTTCTCTCGGAGCAGCTCTGCTTCGCTCTTGCGCCGCTGAAGTTCGTTCTCGCACACCTCCAGCTCCAGGGTTCGTGTACGGGTGGTGCCGTGGGCCTCCTGGAGCAGGACCTGGGTGTTGGTCAGTTCTCCACGAGCCTCTCTGAGCTGACCCCGCAGGGAGACTATCTCCCCCACACGCTGGGCCAACTCCACCTGCACCTCCTTCAGCTGCTGCTTCAGCAGCGAGATTTCCCCCGACTTCTGACACACCTGGGGGGGGGAAAGAGAGAAAGACATGTTTAGGATGTGTATTCCGTTTTCGGTTTAAATAAATAGGCTTGCAACGGACGGTATCTTTATCCTTTAATCAGCCAATGCTTTAGTCTAAGAATGGATTCATTGTTTTGTCTATGAAATTGCATTTCAACTGACTTTTCATTTTAGATTTAAAAGCATGAAATAACTGTCCTAGTAGACCATTTTTACTTCCTGTATTGAGTGAACAAATTAACAACTAATCATTCTGTCCAATGCAGTTCATTTAATTAGGAGAATAAACATATCTGTAAATATATCACAGTGAAGCTGCATCAAAGTGATGGTTTAAAATAGCAGTGTTTAAGGCAATATGAGTGATATTGACTTTAAAGAATAATGTGTAATGGTTAAATGAACAAGGATGGCACTGAGAAACTTCAAGATGACAGCCCAAGCATTTTTATGAGGTCATTACACTACTTTATAAACTGTCAGTTTAGTACTCCTGTAGTGCAGCTCACCTCCCACTTGCTCTCCTCCAGTCGCGGCCCCAGCTGGATCTTATCGTGCTCATAGGAGGTGCAGCGCTCCTCCAGCTGCTCCCGCTCCTTCAGAAGCTGAGCAAAGTCCTCCTGCAGCTTCTTCTTCTCCTGCTGCAGCTGATAAACCTGCAGTCAGAAACAGCCAGTATCAGAAGTTGACCCGAGCAATTCCTAGTAGGACCCAAGCAGCCATGATAAGAGCCTGTCTGTTCTCTAAATACTGGAAAAGGTGTTTTAAATGTGTCCTTATCTCCTTTAGCACAAGGTACACTGGACCAAAGAAAAGGGGATAAAGCTGTCCCACAATTCCTTGTGACAGCAACATTTAAAAAGATGGCAGACCCTAGTCAGTTACGTAGGCTAGTGCTCTCCTTGTTGTCGTTTCCTTAAGAATGTTCCTTTCTAACATTTTGTGTCAGTGTCAAGGAAAAGTTAGGAGAAAGACACAGGTCTTGTTGTGATTATTTGGCCACAGCCCAGAGGTTCTGACCTGCAGCTGCAGCACCTGCTGTGCACGATGGGCCTTCTGCGAGGCGACCTGCATCCTGGTGGCACAGCCCTGCCTCAGCTCCTCCAGCTCCAGCTCAAAGCGCCTCTGCTTCTCCTCATAAACCTGTAATCACAGACAAAACATATTCATTAGGACTTTCCATACGAAACTAAAACGTCCTGCTATTGACGGATGAGTTCGCAATTATATACAGCGTCAAAGTATTAATTACCGCCCTGTTTCAAATAGTAGTGAAATTGTGAAAATTAACCTTTAACTGCCGGACCAAGAAAAAAGCTATGGAAAAATTATTTTTTTGCATTTTCTTATCAAATGGGCCACAAATAAGCACAAACACATTTTTATTTTGTGACTGACCACACAGTTTTGTTTTTATGAGCCTCTACCAAATGGTCGAGCTGGCCTTCTATGGTAAAAGTAATCATCATATACAGTACAGTATTTGTATGCATAAAACACAAACTCAAATACATTTGTTTCTTTTATGGAAAATGAGCAATATATACAACCAGATATATTCATAAAAGATAATAAATGATAATTGTAAAAAAAAAAAATGGAAAAAAGTCATGTAAAGTGTTTTTCATGATAAAAAACATACTTGCTCATCTTACTGTATATGCTGAATTGGCCTAACAGGAAACCACTGGCCTAACAGCAAATGTCCATATCCTGTGTTGGCCTAACTTGCTCATTTGTGTGCAATTTTGGGCTGAATGCCATTCATGAAAGGTGCTATATAAATTATTATCACTCTTTCACTCTGAGACTCATAAGGCAGTACTACAGTAGATTTAGTAATATTACCATGAATCTAGCCATTTATTTACAATATTTTATTGGAAAACATCTCTGAAACTCTGAAAAAGTCATATTGCTAGCTTACCATAAAAGGCCAATTCAACCGATTGGTTGAGTATATTTTCCAAAAAATAATTACACCCTTGTTAAAACCTTTTTTGTGCATCAAGTTATCTAATTATGTTCAGTCAGTGCCCTGCCACTAAAATATGTCAAATTATATGGTTACCTTACAAAAGTTGACCAAAAAGAGTGATTTCTTCAGAAGTGATTTTTAGCATTGCCAACTTTCTCAGTTGAAGCTAGCTGAAGGGCATTCTGTTTGAACCACAGTGACATCTAGAGTTTGTTTTGTGCATAACATGTCAACCAAAGGGTAGAGCTGGCTGAATCAGATGGAGTTCAACTTCCTTTTTTTTTTTTTATATCAAGACGCGAAATGTGCTCTACCAAATGTTGGTGCTGGCAGTTAAAGGGT